TTAGCACTGTATAATACTTTCATCTAGTAGAAGCTTTTTGTTTGATTAAAGAACAAAGAAAAAAAAATTCCTGAAGCCCAAAGGTTTTGCAACTTGTACAAAATCACAAAGAAAAACAACACTACCTTCCTGAGAAATTAGTTATTCGGCCCCTCAGGTATACCTGAACCATTTGGCAAACACATTGAACAATATATGGAAGGCAAGACTTGGGGTGGGGTAAAATAAATGTCATCACATTCTCACATAGCTGTACCTCTCCTGAGAGTTCTGTTCATTTTTTCATTCCTCCTTAATCAACTAAATCAAAATGGTTATTATATTTGTTTCATTTTACTTCTAAAATATTTCTTGACTTCTCTGCCTCATTTTCAGCTCTTCTGTCATGACCCGAGAAGAGGCCCACACCTCTTCTGCCCGGACTATGGTATGAGCTCTCTAATGAAGCTCCCTTCTCCTGATACTAGGGCCAAATAACTAACTACATGTACAAAGGGCTTTTTTAAAAGTTATAATACAAGATAATCTACTCCTAAAACTATAATGAAAGAAGCCCAAGAAAAACATCAATTTTTTTAACCCTGAATGAAAGAAGGATTCAACATTTATCTCTCAAACTTTTAAAACTGTGACTTAATATGAGAAATTCTTGTAGTACTTTTTTAGTCACTATTTAACTACCTATAAGATACACACCCATATGTACATAAACACACACATATACACACTAATAATTATTAGAGATCAAGCCAAAACCAACCAAACAAAAAGATTTTGAGTCATGTAAATGTAGTCCTGTTATTAATTTGATCTGTTAAGGCTAAATTATCAGGATTTGATAAAGCTCCATCATGAAGAAGGCTTCAAATACATTCCATGACCTTTATTTTACAGTTCAGTACCATACACTTGAACTTGACTTTGGCTTTGGTAAAAGAAATGTGCATTTTCAGTGTTTTCCTACTTCGTAACAATAGTAAGAATTCTAGTCCTTTGTTTAACAGAGAATTTGCCAGTAGTGCGGATAGGTGGGGTAAGAAACTTTCATGCAGTTGTCATTTTTTTCCTCAATAACCTAATCTATCTACTCATGAGCAATCTTTTCCTGGCTTACTGTGTTTAAATGTACTAGCTCACACTAGTCATGTTTTACAAAAAGAAATGGAGGGAGGAAAAAAATCAGCAAATTAGCCAGAAGCAGCTTGGTTAGTTTTCACTCCCAAAGCAGTTTAAAGACAATGAAAAGTCTGAGCAGAAAATGATATAGGCAAAGAAAAAAAATTCTTGATGTTGTCTGAATAAATAAAAGTATTTAACCTTGAAATGTTTTTCCTATTTTTTTCCTCTCATTTTTGCTGTAGTCCTATGTCAGAAAATGTTCCTGCTGGTAGAATGTTAGTTAAACATAAAAAGAACCAGGTTAGCTTTATGTCAAATTACAGAGTAAAATTTAATTTGTGATAAGGAAAAAGAAAGTTTGAATAAAATTTAACAGTAAAATTACAGTCTTCAGAAGGAAAATTTCCACAGCTTGTTTATTCCTTTACCCACTGCAGTTTTGGTGAAACTGATGCTTAACTATACCTCTAGGAAATAGCATCTGTCCCAGGGCAATCAGCACCCATCCTGTCCTCCTCCAGAACTGGGTCAGGAGTGAATATGTAATCCGAGCTCCCCTGCACCTATAGCCTGAGGTGTCCTAGTTGCTATCATTTGCCTTGCCTCAAATTATAACATGGGACAATCCTGCTCACTTGATATATCCTAATTTCTCTTATGTGGGCCAAAAGAATGCACGGCAAGAAGACTTGAAGTTCAGTTTACTTTTGAGAGTATATCTAGAAATAATATTTTTACAAAAAAATCAGTATTTTTACAAAATATTGTATATGTGGTAACATTATTCTCATAGCCAGTAGTCAATAAATGAACTCATACATGTTTATTGAGAACCTCATATCTATGGATAACAAAAGGATGAGGAGGGGGAAAGACTGTTGAACAATGGTTAGGCCAGGTGAAAGTTGGATCTGCATTTACTCAGGTAGGCTGGGAACTGTGTGTCCTATGTGGCTCAGGAAATAAATGGCAAAAATGGGTGGTAAAGTAATTCAGATTAGTAACAGGTATTGCAGGCCCTGCCCGTGTATATAAGGTCAGTGAAAATGCATCAAAGTGATGTATGACATGGATATAATGAGCCACATGCTATGTGGAGAAAAAAGAAAGGGAAAAACATAGTCAACAATGGTAGGCATTTAGTGACTAAAATACAGTAAAAAGGACAGGGAACAGGAATGTGTGCTTGGTAGATGGACAAGCTAGAGTACGAGGAGAGGAGTGCTACCAAGTGGAGATTTTGAAGCTGGAGACTTGTCTTATTGGTGAAGTCAGGAATGGCACTATGGGTGACTGATAACAAAAATTAATAATAAGGAATCTGAGGAATCATAAACATGCATGTTAACAAAACCAAGGATCAATGGGCGTATAAAATGGAAAGTAAGATTAAGAATCTAACACTGATTATTGCCATACATACATGGAAATGAGTCTTTAAAGAAAATAAATCACTTCACTGCAAAGAAGGTGACATAAATAATTAAAATAGACATCTTGGACTAGAGGGTGGCTGGATCAGGATATAACCAAAAATTTCAATGAAAAATCAGAATAGGGCCATATTACTCAACTCGTCAGCTAAGAGTGGAGGAAAATAAGCAAAGCCTTTTGGAAATGGAGCATCACCTTCAGGAGAGTCAAGTTACAAGGAAGACAGACAGGGAAAAAGAAAGGAACATCAGGGCCTAAAAAGACTAAGGGAAAAGAGGTTAAAAATATGGGTAAGAAACAGGGTTGTAATAGAGAGTAGTAGGATGGTTTTAAAAGAACTATTTTAAACATAAACATTTATTGAGCAAATCACAACGCTAAGCAATAGAGTGGGAGAGAAGCTGGAAGAATACTGCTGCTGATGATTATAGGTAAGCTCAGGAGATCTAAACATAATTAAATGTGTGTGTGTGTGTACAATTGATAAACATAATTGAACAATTTAAAGGGTCAATGACATTGGAAAAGTGGCACTATGTCATACAAAATGAGAATTAAACTGTTACAGAATAGCTCCTTTTAAATACCAGCAAAATAGCTGGTAAGATTAAGGGAGCCTTTCTGGAGTCTGGTACTGGGAGAGCAGGAAAAAAAAAAAAAAACAGGGTGCTCTTAAATGCCCTCTCAACAACTGTTAGCCAGGGAAACAGGAGAGATGGAACATAAAGGGTAGATGGCAGGGGAGATGGGACATACACATAATGAAGTTCTCAATTTGCAAAGATGGGAGAGGAAAAGCAGAACACTGTTCTCATGCAGCAAGGGAATTCTAGAGGGCTACATCAGGTCAACATGAGGGAAGCGCAGGTCTGGCTCATTAATGCTGGGATAACATGCAAATAAGCAGTCCTCTCCTACATAAATACACCCACACACAGGTTGCATTCAATTTGTCTGCTACTACTCTAAAGTGCTTGATAACAAAAGTAAAACGGAAAGAATAATACATCATATTTAGAAATGCAATATTAAAAATCCTCATGTATTTCTGAATGTTGCCACAGGGCAATAGGACTCATAAAACATATTACATTATTTACCAAGCAGCCTGGCTATGAGTTTAATATGAATTATGGCATGATTTCCCTGAATAATTAATTTAGTGTTCAGAAACAGGAAACTTAGAAAACAACACGTCTAGTCCTTGGTTTCAGGAGGTGAGGTGCAGTAAGCAAATGTCAAAAGAGCCAAAGGAAAGGAAAAAGGAAAACCCAGCCAAAGCAAGTTACTTCTTAAAAAAAAAATCAAAGCTTTTGCTTTTATAGTTTGTTTAACAACTAGCAATCCTATAGACAATAGAAAAATAATTACTTTTGTCTGGCATAAAAGTTTTGTTTATAGGATCCATCTACACAATAAAATTGTGGCAATCCCAGGACCTCGAACAACTGTAGGCAAACAATTAAGACAAAAAGAGAACTAGATTGAATCAAAGCAAAGTGAGTGAAACAAAGACAAATTGAATTATAATTAGTGTACCCAAGTATGGGGCTCTAATCGAGTGGAGGAACTTGAAGAAATGAAGTTGAGAATCTGTAATGCTACCAGACTTCCTGTAGTCAAAGGGATAGTAAACAAAGACAGCAGGAGAGAAGAAAAGAGCAACGTAATCTACGTTTTCAATAATTACTCTCTTTTTAACAAAAATAAACAGTAAAATTTTGGACATCATTATCATTCCATTGAGCATCATTGTAAGGATCTCCACTCTAACTGTTAAGCTCTCTGGTGCTTTTTTAAAAACGTAAAAATATATCCTTTTTTTTTTTAATCTGTTTGGATAGGCACAGTCCTATTACTAACTTCCAAATCCTAAACAAGAAATACAAATGCGAGCAAAGGCAAATACAGCCACTTCTGAGGAACTGAGTTAACTAGCGTCACATGGCATGAGCTAACCTGCTCTAACTCCTGGGCTGTGGCTTCCTCCTTGGCCTTGGCTTACCTCATAGCTATTGGACTTTTAACTTTAATAAGACAATGACTTCTTAGCCCTGGTGTTATTTCTTGGCTTCAACACATTCTGTACATCCGTAGCCCTGACAGCTAATTTAGCTTCACTGTTGGTGAGTTTCTTGTTTGCTTTTGCCGCTGTCCAAATGATTCAAGGTGCTGAATGACACCATGTGTATGTTGCTAGGGGCTGAGAAGAGGGCAGTAGGAAACAACAAGTCAGGAGACATGATTGGAACAGTACTGGGTGTAGACACAGCCAATCTAAGGGAAGCTTTTTGTTTCCCTTTCTCATGTGGACAGAGCTCCAACATCTCCTCTTGGAGCTGAGTTTGATGTATGCTTTTTATGTTTTTTTAAAAATCATATGCCCAAGAATTCTTCAAATACAACTTCTGCTCTATGGATAAAGCAAACGTATAAAAGTATACTACCTGACAAGACCACTTCAATAAGATCGCCTTCCTGTATATCACTGGCCGTTTTCACCAGCTGAAGGATGTTTTCAGAGGTAGGGTCATGGCGAAAAAGCAGGATCTTATCATACATTCCATAGAAACCACATTCAGGGAACTGCAAATACAAATAGCATGAGAGTTTAAACGTCAAAATCCTTCCAAATATTTTGTTCTAAATATTTCAGGACACAAATAGAAGCTAATTAGAAAAGTTCAAAGTATCTAGATCATTAATTTGTTTTTTAAAAAATGGTAGGGTTGATATTGGGAAGACTCCAAATCAGAAACAAAGAAATTACATAGATCATGGGGGCAGTGGTCAAGTGGTTTTCTAACTAGAGAGCAAGAAAAGAAGAGAATAAGATAAGATTAAAAGAAGTTCTGGCAGTAAAGTGGTCAAGGTGGGAAGAGGTGTGCACTTTCACATGATTTAGGGCAACCCAATAACATAAAAATGGCAGTCGCTTTATTCCAAATTCTATTACACATAATAATGGCAATTTGTTTGCAAAAACCTGGGTCTCTCTGTTTTGGCATATTCAAAAATAAGAGATGACTCAATAAATCTAAACATACTCTGTATGTGAGCAGTAGCTTTATCTAGGCCCTTTGATCAGGAGATCGGGGAGGCAACCCAACTCTCCCTTCTCCTGCTGCCCCTACTACATTCCATTTGGTTTTCATGCAATCTGTCAATCCACAATCTCATGAGCAGTGTAAGAAAGGTCCATCTGCAGCAGCATGGAGGGTTTTCATTAAAGCAAACAACCTAAGCTAATTTGGTATGTAAAAAGGGCCTTTTTATTGTAATGACTTTTTCACATAATTATTGAAGATTGCTATTTCTGCCATAAACTGACATTTGTAATGTAGTGGGAAAAGATGCAAACTCAGGGAAAGAGAAAATTATCTTTCTGCATCCTGGAACTGATGAGGGATCTGACACTTATGTCAATATAGGTGGACTTTAAGAAACTGCTTTTGGGAAGAAATGTCTAGAATCTATTATATTCTGGAGATAAAAACAATACAAGTCTCTTTCTTTTTCTTAGTCATAAAATTAGGAGCTAAATTTATGTGAATCATTTTATACGAACTAAAAATAAATATGAGAACATCTCCTTGCTCTTAGGAGTCAGTGCTGATGACCAGGCTTAAAACTATTTCTGCATGTCACTTAGTGAAGTTAACTTCCTTAAAAACATACACACACACAACAGCTGAAATGATGTCATTGCTTCTACTGTGTTAATTAAAAGAAAAAAAGACGTAGTTCACTTTTTCTTGGAAATATCTCCAATAATACTAGTAAAGCACAAGAAAACAAAGAGAAAATCAAAATAACATTTTCTCTGCTTTAAAAACAATGCATACCTCATGCACTATTTTAAAAATTAACTTTATTGAAGTATTACATGACATGAATTGGATATAAGTGGATAAATCTACATGTTTTGACAAATATAAATACTCATACAATGAAAATCACAATGAAGCCATGAGATATTTTCATCAACCCAAAAAGTTGTATTGCAATCTATGCAAACCACAATCTTAATCTCAGGCACAGAGCTACTTTCTGTCACCCTTGTTTGCCTTGTCTGCCATAGAATTTAAGGTAAATGAAATCACACAATATGTTATATGTACCCTTTTCTGGCTGGCTTGTTTTTCTCATTATAAGGTTTTTGAGATTCATTCATACATACTGCTTTTGAGTTCTGTCTTCTTTTATTACTTATTAGTATTTCATTAAACGGATCTAGCATAATTGTTCATCTGTTCACCCACAGATTGACATTGTTTTTTTTTTCCAGTTTGCAGCTATTACAAATAAAAATGCAATGAACATTATGTACAAGTGTTTCAGTGGGTACATGTTCCCATTTCTTATGGGTAAATATCCAGAAGCAGCATTGTTGGGTCATACAATAAATGCATGTTTGAGTTATATGCCTCTCCTTAATAAATATAACACCACATTATGTTTATAAGTATAGCTTTATCTTAAGCTTGCAATTCAGGTAGTGAGGGCCTTCCAATGTTTTTTTCCTTTTCAAGATTGTTTTGGATACAGGATCCCTAAATTTCCATATATATTTTAGAAATGCTTTGTTGATTTCTACAAAAAGTTCTGAATGAGTGGCCAATAGAGTGGCCCATAAAGCCCACTCAATCATGTATTTCTTTATAGACCATGCTTTTGCTAATATATCTTTGCATAACTGAATATAACACAGATTTTTCTCCTATATTTTATTCTACACATTGCATTGTTTAAATTTTTACATTTGAGACTATGATCTACTTTGAGGTAAGTTTTTAATAGGGCAAAATATACGGATTGAGGTTCACTGTTGTGCAGACTTGGTATTTCTTCCTTAAATGTTTGGTAGAATTATCTGCTGAAGCCATGTGAACCAGAATTTTCCTTGCTGGAGGGCTTAAAACTTCGTATTCAATATCTTTATAGTATACTTTAGACCTCAATTTCCTCTTAAGTGACTTTTGGCAGTTTGTTTCTTCACAGAAAGCCATCCATTTCATCCAAGTTGTCAAATTTATTGGCATAAAGTTATTCATGATTCCCTTACTACCCTTTTAATAACTATACAGATTATAGTGATGTCTCTTCATTTATTTCTTATATCATTTCTTTTTTTGTTTAGTCTGGCAATAAATTTGTCAATTTTTTTCAATTTTTCTTGTAATGAACCAGCTTTTGTTACACGGGTTTTCTCCATATTTTTCTATACTTAATTTCATGGGTTTCTTTTCTTATCTTTATTATTTCCTTTCTTTAACTTTAATTTGTTCTTTTCTTCCTAGATTCTTATGGTAGAAGCTTGTATTACTGATTTGAGAGATTTGAGACTGTTCTAATATGATCATTCAATGCAATAAGTACTTCAGCAATATTTCACAAATTTTGATAAAGCTGTATCTTTATTTTTTTAACTCAAAATATTTTCTCTCATATCATACATAAAAATAAACCCAAAATGTATTAAAGACTTAAATATAAGATCTAAAACTGTAAAATTACTAGAAGAGGTAGAGACAACTCCCTGACATTGTTCTGGACAATGATTTTCTTTTAGTATGACCCCAAAAGCACAAACAAAAAAAGCAAATAAAGACGAATGTTGTGACATCAAACTAAAAAGCCTCTGCACAGCAAATGAAACGATCAACAGAGTGAAGAGACCACCTGTAGAACAACTCAATAGCAACAAAACAAATAATCCAATTAAAAAATGGACAAAGGATCTGAATAGACATTTCTTAAAAGAAGATATACTAATGGCCAACAGGTACATGAAAAATTGCTCAATATCACCAATCAGAGAAATGCAAACTAAAAACAACAATGAGATATTATCTTACCCCCGTTAAAATGGCTACTATAAAAACAAAACCAACAGATAACAAATATTGATGAAAATATGGAGAAAAGAATGTAAATAGGTACCATCACTATAAAAACATTATAGAGGTTCTTCAAAAATCTAATAATATAACTACCATATGATCCAGCAATCTGACTTCTGGGTATCCATAGGAATATCCAGAATTGAAATGAGGAACTCAAAGAGATAACTGCATTCCCATGTTCACCACAGCATTATTCACGATAGCCAAGATATGGAATCAACATGAGTGTCCATCGATGAATAAATATATACAGAAAATGTGGTGGACAGATACAGAATAGAATACTATTCAATCTTAGAAAGAAATACTAACATTTGGGACAACATGATTTAACCTGCAGAATAGTATATTAAGTGAAATAAGCCAAGGACAGAAAAACAACTACCAGATATGGAATCTAGAAATGCTGAATGCATAAAAGCACTGAGTAGAATAGTCATTACCAGGGGCTAAATGGTGGGTGAGTAATAGTCAGGGTGATGTTGGACAAAGGATTTAAAATTTAATTTAGGAGAAATAAATTCAAGAGATCTATTATATAATGAGGTGACTATAGATAACACTACATTATATTTTTGAAAGTCACTAAGAGTGTAGAAAAATTTAAGTGTATTCACAATAAAAAAAGGTAAGTATGTGAGGTATGCATATGTTAACTACCTTGATGTATCCATTCCACAATGTACACATATTTCAAAATATGATTCTGTATATGGTAAATATACACAATTTTTGTCAACTAAAATCATTAATTAATTTTAAATATATATAGTCTAATTTCCCTTGTGAATTTCTCTTTAACTCATGGATTATTCAGAAGAATGTTGTGTAATTTCCAAATACTTAGATTTTTTTCCAGATATCTTTAGATTCTTAATTCCCAGTTTAATTCTGTTAAGGTCCAAATCCTACCTTGCATAAATTTGACACTTTTACATTTCCTAAGATGTTTTATGGCCCAAGAGGTCAAACTTGGTGAATATCCTATATGCATTTAAAAATAATGTGTATTCTGCTGTTGTTGGGTGGCAAGTTCTATAAATGTCAATTAGATTAAGTTTATTGATAGTGTTTTTCAGATTTTCTATTTGCTTAATGTTCTGTTCTATAAATTAAATATTGATGTCTTCACATACACTTGTGGATTTTTTTTCTCTTTTTCCTTTCAATTCTATTATTTGCTTTAAGCATTCTGAAGCTCTGTTGGTAGGTGTGTAAACAATGAAACTTGGTACATTTTCTTGAAGAATTTATCCGTTTCATATTATGTGGTGTCTCTCTTTAAATTTGGTATTATTTCTTGTCCTTCGTGACAATACAACCATTTTAAACTTCTTTAAATGCCATGCTTCCGTGGCATTATGTTGTCATTCTTTTAATCTCTGTGTCTTTATAAACTTGTTGTACACAACAAATATATGTCTCCCTCATCTTTTTGTGCAGTCTGACAATCTCTACCTTTTTCTTTCTGTTTTTTTTTTTTTTTTTTTTTTGAGACCAAGTCTTGCTTTGTCGCCCAGGCTGGAGTACAATAGCACAATCTTGGCTCTCAGAAACCTCAGCCTCCCAGGATTAAGCGATTTTCCTGCCTCTGCCTCCCTAGTAGCTGAGATTACAGGTGCGCACCACCACACCTGGCTAATTTTTGTAGAGATGAGGTTTCACCATGGTGGCCATGCT